GGCGCCGGCGCCGCGCCGCGCGCCCTGGGCCCGGGGTCCGCGCACGGGTCCACCGACCTCACGCGCCTGCCCCCCGTCCTCAACTCGGTCAACATGGCCGAGGTGGAGCTGGTGCGCCTGATCGGGGAGGGCTCCTTCGGCCAGGTCTGGCTGGCCAAGTACTGCGAGACCACGGTGGCGCTCAAGATGCTGACCAACAAGATGCCCAGCCTGTCGGCCTCGCTGCAGCAGAGCTTCATGCTGGACCAGCTGCAGAAGGTGCGGTGATGGTCGAGGTTGCTTCGCGGGGAGGGGGGGGGGAGGTGTCTGTGGGGCGTGGTCAGTGGCCGGGGGGAGGGTGCAGCCCAGCGTGGGCATGCATGGCGGGAGGTGGCGCTGTGAGGAGCGGTGTGCGTCTGAGGGCCCGAGGTGGGGGGGTGGGGCGCACCTGGTGCGCCCGGGCGCAGGGACGGCGGGTCGCAGACTTCCACGTCTCGACCGCGCCTGGGAGGCCCCTTCGGGGGGCGTGTGCATCGCATCGCTCGATGGACAGGATGATCGCAGGGCGGTGAAGCCCCCGTCAGACCCGACCCGAGTCCTCACCCGCCGCGGCGCCTGCAATCCCCACCCCTTGCGCAGGAGGCCAGCATCATGGCGCGGTTGCGGCACCCCAACTGCTGCCAGTACCTGGGCCTGTGCCTGGACCCACCCTCCCTCCTCATGGAGTACTGCTCGCAGCGGTCGGTGGACACCATCCTCTCCGCGGGGCGCACCGACACCAAGGTACATGCGCGGGCGGGGGCGTGGCGGGGGGTGGCGCTGTGGGGTTTGGAAGGGAGCCGAGCAGGCCGGCGATCCCTCCATGCTCACTCAACCCCTTCCTCCTCGTCCCACCAGGTTGCCAAGTCGCTGTCCTGGCCGCGCCTGCTCAGCATGGCATTCGACGCCGCCAAGGTGAGCAGCAGGCGCATGGGGGGGGGCGAGCGGGTGTGGAGGGAGGGGGTGACTGAGGCTCCCAGGCAAGCACCTGACAATCAGTGCTTGGCGGCGCGCCGGCAGCCAATGGGCGAGCGCCTCCAGAGGGGAACCGACGCCTTGGAGCTTCGGCGTCGACGGTAGCACTCCGCGCCACCCTGAGCCACCCCGAGCCACCCTCACCAGCCCGCGCGCCCACCCAAACCCCTTCCAGGGCATGCTGTACCTGCACACACGGCAGCCTGCCATCATCCATCGTGACCTCAAGTCGGCAAACCTGCTGGTGGACTCCCAGTGGCACGTCAAGGTGCGAGGGGCAGTGGGAGGGGATGCCGTGGG